CTGCTGTGAACTGATCTGGGTGTGTCTTTTTTGGGGGACCCACAAAATTATGGTTTTCATTTTGGTTTCCCTCTAGAACCACTCAAAGAAGGGGTACGCCTGCGTTGGCAGCTCAAGTTTGCCGAGGCCAATGCCATAGTTCCGCGCAGTGACGAGGCCTGGCTGCCGCTTGTGACGATCCAAAGAGCAAACTTGAGCCAACGGAGATCCGATCCGCTTAGATCTCAATCTTGTGAGATCTTGTCGAACATGCAGCTCTGTGGAACGCTAGGTTTCCCAGTAGTGCCCTTTCTCACGCCCTTTTTGGGGGAGGGTTCCCCTACTATTAAAATAGACTACAGAAGAAAGGGTCCCTTATTCTAACCCCTCTACTGGAGGACCTAGAAAGGGTGGTACTCCACGAGACAGATTTTATGGAATGGCCTTAAGCCAGCGCCGTGCAGCCAAAGCCGGTTTACCGGCTGCTTTGGTGGGGCCGTGGCGCGCCATTTTCTGCTGGCTAGTTCCAGACCGTCCATTTGGGGGGATGGGAACGAAGCAGTGATCTTCGTTACTTTGAACTTACAATTTGTATGAGGTAGCCAACCATGTTGCCTCCTTTGCGAACGCAAGTTGGATGCGGATCGCCCCAAGTCACCACGAAGCCGTTATACAGGATGGCAGCAAAGGCAACTCCAGTTGCTTGGATCTGCTGGACCTGCCTCAACTGATCCCGCATCTGGCTAATGTCACCGCCATAGGCACGATTTGCCTCACGCAATGTGCAGCGTCTCCATTCACCTGCAAAGGCTGACATTGTGGATATCCGCCAAGCTAGCCGCATGGGCGGCACGATTGTAGAAACACTATCCTCATCTAGGGCCTCAAAAGTGGGCCATGGGTCCAGACCTCAAGCGAATCTCAGAGGCTCGGCTCCAGAGGTGCTGCGCCAAAGCCATCGTGTACCGTCGACTCATCGACTCCAGTTCCACCGCAGAGCTGGTAATCCCGCTTGACAAGATCGCATTCACCTGCGATGCGCCGAATCTGGAGCGTGGTGGTGACAGCAGCTGTTGCTGTGTGGTGTGTGCAAGTCCAAGCAACTTGGAATGGTTCTGAATTGCTTGGACTTGCGCTGGGCACACGGATTGCAAATGATCAGCAAACGGACGGCGCGCCTTACACACAAGCAAACGCGAGGGTACAGAGAAGCCATCTGTTTTTTCAAAAATTATGATTGTGTGATTCAGTTTGCTTGGATTACTTGCAAAGTGGTCAGGGCATCCACTTGGGAATCCGAGTAGGTCAAACTCGAACACAGGAAACCGGGGAGAAGCAAATGGACTTGCCCTTTCACCAACTCGGTTTCCGCATTTTGGCCTGGGGACACTTGCCTTGGAGCAGGCAACATGACGTGATTTTCCAGGGTTTCCTAAATTTCCCCTTTTGGTGGTTTTGAACATCATCGTTTGGTGCTGTTAACGTGAGTTTCGTTTGGGTATGATGCGTAAAGGGGAAACGTAGCGACTTGTGACAGTTTCCTCTTGCTTTGGCTCTGAACTCCAAGTTTGAGCCAGTTGACCTTGCCCGCTTTGCGAACGCATGGGCGCAAACTCAGCGCTGGGATTTAGACAGCTGCAACTGACTCATTGCATCGGCTATGCAGGGTGGCATTTCTTGAAGGCTCCCGTCGGTCGTTAGTGGCTGGGTACTCCGGATGGACAAAGTCCTCACTAGAAGGGTCTTCCCATCCGAACTGGTACAGGATTTTGACAACATCCCGCAATGGACCGTCTCAAAAATGGAGCTGTACCAGGTCTCTCTTGGGGGGTAAATTTACTTGCCGGTTGTCCCATGCGACTTAAGGGAGATTCAACAGTTTCCGCACATGGCAATGACACCCTTGTGAATCAATTTAGTTGTGATTGCCACAAACCTGAAAAAACATGTACCAAGCATAGAGCCCTGGTTCATGGCAAACAAAAGGGACACCTCTTTGCGGTCCCCTCGTTTCATTCGACCTACCCGCCTGAGCCATTTTTTTTAGGTGGACCATGGTCCTCGAAGTCCCTCTCTTGGCCAAACTCTGAACTGATGGTTCCGAAATCCATTTCGCACCAAAGAAAGCCTGGTGTCTGATGAGTCTCCTGTAAGTACTCACCAACAATGGTTTCGTTTGGTTTCTCAGTGGTGCATTGCATGGCCATGAACTTATGAGTTGGAACCACAAAAGATCACACATGCATCCCGGAATTCTGATGTCCCAAGGGTCCGGTGTCCAAACTCTTCAAACGACTTGCATCCGGCTTCGGCTTCGACCCCCTAACTTTGCTCTCGGTGCTTGATGACAAAAAAGACCCCCCTCCCCACAAAAGAGGGAACATGCCGGCATGATAAGAAAGAACCCCCTACAAACGAGAGGAAACACACGGCACTTGATGTCAACCCCCCCCCCCCCCCGCACTGCCGCCAACTGCCCACCGAGGCGCTGAAGGGCCCATGCGAACCTGAGACACGGAAAGCGATTCTGCGCACGGGCCAAATAGCTTGGGAACGATGCACCAACAGAAAACGGAGACTTGCTGCGGAAACCGACCCCCTACTCCAAATACCAACGCCTTTTTTTCAGTTGGTATTTTGGGAAAACCGAGCGGCTTTCCATGGACAATACCTCCTTTTTTAGTAGAGGGTCGACATGATGCCCTGGAAAAAGGCCGGGTATTTGGAGGTTACGGGGGGACTCTTCAATTTACAAACTGCTGGACTTGCCGTGTATGTTTCTCTCCAAGCCATTTTGGCCAAAGGGATCCACGCCTGAAGTCAACTTCCGTGGCAATCTCCGCCAGGTGCATCGTGAGCTGCATGCTCCGGAGCTGGAATCCGACAGGAGCCCGTTTCGGGGACGGTCAGCCACTTGTTTGGCTTCCAATGTCTTGGCCGATCGAGCGTTTTGAACACACATGTCTGCGATGTGGCCTGAGTCTCTAGTCAGCGCTGAGATGCGGACGAGCCAGATCAAACCTGCTTAAACTAAAACTGTGATGTATGATGGTTTTCTTGAGCATGCCAACCGGGTGCTTTGACTCAAACTGCTCGCTTTTCCAGAAACTGCCAGTGGTCCACCCACTCTGATGATTTCTTGGCTTGTTGGCTGAATGCTTGCAGTAGCATTTGCTGGGAAGCATTGGGACGCCACAATGTGATTTCAATGTAAGTAACGATGAATGCCATAAGTACATCCGGGTTTTCCTTTTTTTGGGGCCCCATTTATGTTGGTTTGTGTAGAAGGAAACCGAAAGGCACACCAACCATTTTGGAGGCGGTCTTCAAAAAAAACGACACACCCATACAAATGCATGCTGACGCAAAGTGGGCGCACCAGAATAAACATAAGTGAGGCCTGTATTTGGACTTTCCGGGTGTCTCCGGTGTCATGATGTGGCTGTGGGTAAAAAACAGGTACCCCATATGGAGCCCTGGTTTTTATGGAAAAAAAGGACGGACCAAAACCTGCGGTCCGATTGGTGGTTTTTGTTTTTGATGCACCCAAGTGTTTCAATGGCAGGGGCCTTGGTGTGATTCTCGTACCTGAGCTGACAACGTCTTGTCAATTCACGCCTCGAAGCCCTCGATGGCAGGTCTTGTGGGTCGACCAGCTTGGCCGTTTCGAACCTTTTTCAGGTTCTCCTGCGGCCAAAAAAACGATCGGCAAATAAATTATATGAACTTTAGCTGGAGCCCGTTGATACTGTCCAACCTAGTTTTGGGAGGCTCCATGCTTAGATTCTCATTGGCAAATGGGTCTGTTTTTTGTTGCGGCTACGCTTTTTGAGCCGATTTTCAAGGGAAACCAAAAGCAAAGCGAGACCAAAAGGAAAACCACTCATTTTGGGTTTCCTCAAAAAAATGACGGCTCACAAAAAATGACGGCACCCAAAGGAGTTTTTGGTACTTATATAGTACCCCGGAGCCTTCCGTGCCGCAGGCTGAGCGACGAATCCCCGCAGATGGGAGAGGCGGTGCAGCAACAGATCGGAGAGGCGGCGCGTGAGCGCGAGCGCACTCTGCGCTTGCCATGAGTGTGTGTGTGTGTGTGTCTAGGTCCCCAGCTAGGTGCCCTTTCTCACCCCTTTTTTGGTTGGGAGGGTTCCCCTACTATAATAGACTACAGAAAAAGGGGTACCCTTATTCTAACCTCTCCACTGGAGGACCTAGGTATGTGTGCGGACTGTGGATGTTGCCTTTCTGGGGAAGTCCCGCCTGGAGAGCGGCGGCCTTGCGCCTCGCGCCTCGCAGGCGCCCCGCGTGTTTGGCACCCTGTCCAGCAACTCCAGCGACGCCACCAGCCTGAAGCGCAAGCGCATGAGCACTCATAGGCAGGAACGTGCCGATAGGGCGGAAAGGCTTGCGTGTTTTTTGGGGAAGAGCACAGCCCAGTGGTTGACTACTGGAAATCATGGGGAAGATTTGGCTTCCAAAAGTGCGCGATTGGTCTGTGCCATGTATGCAACGAGAGTGCAGCCAAGTAAAGTGTTGCGTTCAATCAGCAATTAGCATGAAAACCACAATCCCGAGCCGAACACAATATTACGATCTCGAACTGGGCACCTTTTCGGAGTGCACATGATCAAAGGAGTCCATGCTCCAGTGTTCATGTTGATCAAGCATGTCCAGAAGCGGAATCTGTCCAGTTGTCAAGTTGTCAATTCGACTCCGTGCCGCTTCAAGACTGATGCTTCAAGGCAGGTTTCTTGTGGCCGAGTATCGAATGCTTGGACTTGTGTCGCTGACTTTATTGGCCGGTTCTGAAGCTTGGAGGGAGGACCTAGGCTAGGTCCCCAGCTAGGTGCCCTTTCTCACCCCTTTTTTGGTTGGGAGGGTTCCCGTACTAAAATAGACGACAGAAAAAAGTTGGTACCAACTGATTCTAACCCCTCTACTGGAGGACCTATATAGTGGTGTTCAACGGCTTACTTGCACCTTGCCATGGGTTAAACCATTGCAGGAGGAGCATCAGTTCCATGAACGCCACTGGCGCACTGCCCACACCAAAAGCGGCCTGGATGTGTGGAGGGCTGGCTGGGACCTTTTGGTGAGGCCCTTCGGACTAGTCTTCTCACTTGTGGCAATATTCCAAAATGACTTGGATTTCAGTCGCTTGTTTCAGAGCATTATATATGTGACGGTATCAAATTACTTGGTTCCTGTGTGTGCGTGAACTGCGAGACTCATGAACACACCGGTAACACACCCCCGAATTTAAGACAGTCATTCATTGCGCAGGTCCTCCGGGCTATCATGATCATCAAACAAAACTCTCAGAAGTTTGACCGTGCTATAGCTGGCCAAGCAGCTCCTGCAAAATCAGCCGGCCAGAGCTCGGTGATCCAACAGCCGTGCTTCCATTTTTCGCTCAGCGAGCGCCGTTCATTTGGCCAGCGCAGGGGTTTCGACATAGGGAATGACTTGGGGTTTTGGGAATGAACCTAGGGATTCCCCCCAAAGGGATGGTTTTTCTCCCTCGTTCCTGCCTATCGCCCCGCCTATCGAACCAGCATGCTTAGGGCAGGCCGCAGGCCTAAAACGCGCTCGGTGATGACTTAGCACGCGGGGCTTTTGAAAGGAGCTGTTGGCCTCATGGATTGCACATGACATGTTGGCTGAAAGACCCAGAAGAGATGAGTGTTCAAATTTTCAAGCTTTGATGCTGAAGCAGATCGACGGCTGATGAATTGAAGCCCCTGATTCAGTCGCGACAAGAGACAGTGCAGGCTACGCGTCCATTAGTAATTAATATGGACTTGTTCTCAGCTTCGACATGTTGGGGGAGACGCAGTGGATTGTTGGGCATGGTTTTGCAAGCTTCATTCAAGAACTCTGTGCCAAGTAAGAACAAGTAGTTCAGCTCAACAGCGCGGGAGTTGCGCGCAAAAAAACGTGTTTGCTTTGTCTATCCACTTCAGCTGCTAGTTCGAAGCCAGCCCAAGGCTCCCTGAACGCACCTTTCCTGCGCGCGGTTGTCTTACTTGATATATTGCCGGAATCCGTTGCTATCCATACTGTGGATGGCCGGAATCCTGCACCACATTGAACCCATGGGAAGCCTGTGCTTGTTGGCATTTACAGGGGAATCATCATTCCCGGGTTTCTTAGGTGGTGCGAAATGGATTTCGTCCATCCACAGCAGTATCTAACGCCACTATGGTCGGTTCTGGTCCCCGCCATAACATGTCATGGCATGTTATGACACCGCCAACTGGGCTCCTGGCACCTATGTCCTTAGGGGGACTGCCAAGACATGGTTTCCATCTCGGTTGTCAATACACCGCAACTCCTTGAGTCTTTACCCCACAAAGCTAGAAAGAAACCCGCATGTTCCGAAACACTGCAGCGGAATCCACTGGTTGTGCCTGAGCCTCCCCCCCCCCCCCCGCCCCGTGCGATAGACACCTAGACAACCGCATGAACCCCTAGCCAAGCTCCAGAATCCAAGCCGGTCGTTAAGGAGCCAGAGCGGGAGACGTGGCAATTGCTGATGCAGCTGGGTCTCGACCTTAGGCGCGGTCCTCAGCTGGTGCGAAGGGAGCCGCGAAGGGAGAGCTGGGGGGAGCCTTTGGGAGCCGATGGGAGGTCTGGCTCGGGACGTGTACATGTTTCCCTTGGTGGAAACATGATGGAACTGGTTCTCGGTTCTGCAAGGAAACCCATGGCGCAAGTGGGGCCCCCATGTGGCTTCGCGTTTTCGGCGTAGGGCTGCCACCGGTTTGGGTTTATGAAAGTGTTCCTCTTGAGCGAAGGCAGGATCATAGGTGTCTTTTTTGGTTGTTTTGGTAGAAAAATAGGTGGCCCTGGTTTACCTGGTGGTTGAATCATCTACCAGGGCCGTCTATTTCTCCTAAAAGGACGCTATGGGCAGGATGTCCTGCAAGTCATGCAGACAGCAGCCGTTTGCCGTGGAGAGGACGCGGCGCAAGAGCTCCATCATCTCGGCGGAATGCGGCATCGATGCCGCCCGGAAGGACTAAAGCGAAGCAGGGCTCCGTTTTTTTTTCTTCCCCCATTTTGCAACCATTTGGACCATGTTGCTTTTTCAGCACCGAAATAAAGGGAAACCGCCATTTACAAGTTGCAATGTTCACGTGTATAATGCAAGGATCCCTGCTAAGGTCCCAGCTTTGATCCCAGTGGCTACGAGTCACACATTTCGGGGCGCAGTAGGTTGGATGTGGCTCGAAATAGATACCCGACATGGCCTGCCCAAACAAAATGCGGTCCGATTCCTGCTGCTTTAAGTTTGACCCACCGCCATGTGAAGCAGGCTCAGTTTCGGATTTCGTATTTGTTTTCTCGATGGATCTTGGTGCCATTGGCCAAGGACGCCTATGACTTTCAGGATTTGCTGGGCAAGGGTGGCTTCGGGAAGGTCTTCCAGGCCGTTTCCAAGAAGGCGCGGGCCCATGGCGGAGACTTCTTTTTGGTCACTGCAAAAAATCGTGGAGGAAGCAGCGGGTGTATGGAGATGGCTACTTTAATGTTTTATTATTATTATCCTTATTATTATTATTGTTATTATTATGTGTGTATTGCTTATTTTTATTGTTATTATTATGTTTTTATTACTTGTTTTGTTTGTTTATGTTTATTGTTATATATATATATATATATATATGTAATAATAATCATATATAAGCATGTGATTTTCAACATGATGACATCTTTCTTGCTTGAGCAGAGGGTGAGATGTTGGTTCTACGCTGCTGCCACATCACAGTTAAGACAATTTGCTTTCAGGCGCTGCGTGTGCTCCATGCAGCTTCTGAATTGAAGGCATTTGACTGCGCGTCGGTAGACATCCCCCCCCCCCCGGGTTTATGATGTCCACCAAAGCTTCCATTTGGTCAAGAATGTGTTTTTTTTAATCCCCTGGTTTTAAAGGGAATCAATTTCACTACTGGACATATGCTCTCAGTTTTCCAGGGGGGCGAAAAGGCGAATGGAAGATCAGCAGCAGAGCTCGGTGGGAGAAGCAAACGGTCGTTCTCCTCCAGCCTCCATTTGCTGAAATGGGTATGGGCCAAAATACAACCACCAGGAGCGCAGGTGTTAGTCCATGTTTCCATTTCCCAGGGTTCCATGTTGGGTACATGGTTTTTTTTTTGTTTTTTTTTTTTTCTCCGTTTTTTTTTTTTTAATGGGATCCCATGTTGGTTGGTGAATTCACCAGCCATTTTAGAACCTATTTTAGCGGTTGGACTGGGATGCTCACTGGGGGGGTTCCGGGATTTTGACCCATGGCCAAATGAGTCTACTCGTTTATTCGCCCCGGTTGGTTTTAAAAGGAATCCAGCGCTGCACATGTTTTTTGTATTGCCAGGAAAGCTTATGGGCACTACAGAATCCAGATCTGAAGCAAGAATACTAGAAACCAGGGTTGTGGGATCAAGGCGATCAAGGGGTTTATCCCCACTTCTGTGATGCAAGGGAACCCCCTCTTTATATGGCGGGTTAGTCTTTGGGAAGCCCTTTTTGTTGTATCAGAGAAGTGGTCGTTTCCCACAGGTCTGCTAGAAACACACTGCAGGACCCGGTTGTTTGGGTGAAGTTTGCCAGTTTGCAGCATCCGGCTGCGCGGTGCATGCTGAAGGGGTGCAGTCCCCAACCCCCGGGCTCCGATTTCCGCGTTCTTTTTTGTTGGTTTTTTTGGTTGAGAGATGGCACGTGCCAGGATCAGGGTGGAGCACAGAAGTTTATCCAACCACTTCTGTGATGCTAAAGGGGAAGCTCCCCCTTTCAAAGGGGGAGATGGTCGTTGGGAAGCGGTTTCTGTATCACAGATTCGTGGATTCCATGTCAACCACCGTGGCCAGGACGGACAGCCCTGCGCCATCAAGTGCGTGGACATGAAGAACACGGATCCTGAAGCACCTTGGCACACCAGTCTGTGCCCAGTCTGCAGCCGCGCAAATCTTAGGTCACTGAGTAGTGCCCCTTTACCCTTTTGTTGGGGGAGGGTTCCCCTACCCAAAATAGACTACAGAAAAAAGGGTAGCCGTATTCGAATCTTTCCACCTTGCATCAATCAATGCCAATTGACCCTAGTTGGCTTGGAGCAGTTCCCTCATGCCGGCGTTGCTTTGGCAGGGATTGCGGGGAAGGTATACAATGCGTCCCAGCTTCCTTCCAAGAAACTGGTTTTTCCCCGACCTCGAAGATCAGGGGTTCCCAAGCGTTTGTTTCCTAGTTCAGCTGCATGTTTCGCGGCGTGGCTCACGGGTTCCTTTGGGACCTCGTGCTTGACATCAACGTCTCCCATCGCTTGGACCCATCAAAGCCATGGCTTCGCTGGATGGGGTTCCCAAATTACCCGCCCTCACAATAGCAACTGGAGGGTACTGAGGGAAGCTTTCAAGCATGGGATTCCTACTGGAATTACCGTACCTTACTGGTTTGCAGGGAAGACAGGCCGGCCAAAAATGACGACTCGTTGGAAACTTGGGGGTTACTTCCATTTGCTGAAATGAGTCTATGTTTTATTTCCTGGTTTGAAAGGGAATCCAAGTTCACTAGTGGACAGATCTGCTCTCATGTATTTCCGGACGCACTTACATGTTTTGTAGGGCGGGCTTCGGTTCCTTTCGCTTTTTGAAGGTCCCGTGATTGTTTGTTTCGGATGGAAGTGGAGCAACCCGAGACCCAGGGCCAAACGAGAAAAACGAACGGCCAGGTCTTTCAAAGAGAGCTGGAGCAGGCCTGGGCGCAACTGCACACAAAAGCGTGGCGCATGTGCGTGTGTGTGTGTGTGTGTGTGGTGTGTGTGTGTGTGTGTGTGGTGTTTTGCTTTTTTGGTTGTACCCACTAAATGGGCTTCAATCTTTCAAAGGGGGTTCCTCTTTAGCGTTTCTTCAACCAAAAGAGGGCCTACAAAAACAGCGAGAACATCGATCAAAACTATAATATGTTGGGATCCACCAGGCTGCACGTTTGAAGGCTAGCTCCTGTAGAAGGTGCTTTGATCCTTACAAAGCCGGCTGCTTGCGTGACCCTAGGATCAGCCGCGTTATCACCCTGGTAAACTTTTGGTGCTGGGGCCCATTCTGAAGCGTCACTGTATCTGGGTGAATATTAACGACCTCACACGACCTCAGCCCAAATGGTGGTTTATGCGGGGAATAGCCGCCCAACCACCTTATTTCAGGTTGGTGGAAACGTATAATTCACCGAGACTGTATTGCTTTGGCATCAGCGACCTGGAGGTGAATTGAGCAGAGTTTGTTTTTGCTAAGTATTTGCTTAGACGAGAGGGTCCAAGTACCTCATGAGGATGGCTTTTAGGGGGTAAAATTGGGTCTAAGTACCTCCTTAGAAGGTACTTGGACCCTCTGGGCACTATAAGGGGCGCTTTATGTTGCGGAGGCACCGCATAGGCAATTCTGCTGGGGGAAGCAATTCGCGCAGGCAGTCCACCTAGGTTGTTCAAGAAATTCCTGCGTAAGCCTGTTGTTATGACTTGAGAGTAGCGCCCGAAAAAAATATATGCGTAGGCACTCCGCGTAGGGGCTTGCTGCCGCATAGGCTGGTGTAGGCACCCTGGCACAGTCATGCGCACCCGCGGAGGCTCCGTGTAGGCATGGCTGCCAGTGTAGCAGGTCGACACACCAATAAAACACCTGCTCAATTGGGGGTGGATCAAAAGGTCCTTTACATGGGATGGCCATTGAACAAATATGAATATTATATTTCCCACATGGGACAAGTTATTCATCATGGTCATTTGGGGGCCGCACGGAATATGAATCAGCCCCCAATATGAAGTAGCTGCTACTTGAAGAGGCACGGACAGAACCCTTCACATGGACTTTGTTCGATCGCAATGCTATGCTGATGCTTTGAGCTGTACGTACTGAGTATTGCAAACTTGCATGATACAGGTTTGGCAAGATACTAAAGCGAAAAGTGGTACACAATGCTCTTGCATCAGTGGGTTCTCCCTTGTTCTGAACCTCATTTACTTATTGGTCCAATTCAAAGCTACCTTAGAACACAACAGCGCCGGAAATCAAAAGGAGATGAATTCAAGCACGCATTGGCCAAACAGATTCCCTCACAAAGATTGACAGAACATGCCGTTGGACTTTTTTCAGGGCTTGCTCACATCCTTGGAAAGTTCACCAGCGCACGAAAGAACTTCTCACTTGCCCAAAGCCTTTTGACCTTTTGGCTTTCCCTGTTTTGAACTTGTTGGGCTCCCTTGTACTTCCATTTTCTGGGGCGATCCTTCTGCGAGAGTTATTTACCACGGTTCCTGCATGTTCCGATTTGTTCCCAGAAGGAGGCTGTGAGGCAACCTCGCTGCCTCTATATAATTGGCGAACATGGAACCTGAACGTGCCCCTAGGCATCAAAACATGCCTGGATGCAGTTCATACGTAGATTCTTTCTTCAAGATCCATGGTTGGATTAAAAATCAACCTTCCATTCTTTGCCGCGGATTTGTTCATCATCCAATTTTCGGTCAACCGATCCTCAGGAACGGGGTTGGATCGGTTCGATAGGCGCGCAAACTGCAGAACCCGCATTTGGTACGCCTCATTGCAGCCTACCAGGATGTCTCTTGGATGAGAGCTGGATGGGTTTGGTCGTCGAATGGACGGAGCAGTTTATGCTTTGTCCAGGGATCAAAGTACATGGGCTTATATTCACGGGTGTGTGTTTTTTGAGGCTACCATTTTTGGTGGTTTTAAAGGGAAATCAACAGAACTCACTGCGTTTTGAGGGGTCCCCTGAAAATGACTGCGAATGTTGCCTTATTTCGTCCTGTGATTACTGGCTTGTGGAGTGTTTTTTTTTCCCCACCCGACAGGAAGGGGTTGTTAGATTTCAAGTAGAATCCATGTTTGCGATGCTGCTACACCACACCCTCCTGCCAGAGAGGATTCTGCCCAGTATCCCGCCAGAGGGGTCCGCCAGTGGATCCCGCCCAGTATCCCGCCAGAGGAGTCCGCCAGTGAATCCCGCCCAGCATCCCGCCAGAGTGGTCCGCCCCCCCAGTGCATCCCGCCCAGTATCCCGCCAGAGTGGTCCGCCAGTGGATCCCGCCCAGTATCCCGCCAGAGTGGTCCGCCAGTGGATCCCGCCCAGTATCCCGCCAGAGGAGTCCGCCAGTGGCCCACCCAGTATCCCGCCAAACAATTCCGCCAGTGGATCCCGCCCAGTATCCCGCCAGAGGAGTCCGCCAGTGGATCCCGCCCAGTATCCCGCCAAACAATTCTGCCAGTGGATCCCGTCCAGTATCCCGCCAGAGGAGTCCGGCAGTGGACCCGTATCCCGCCAAACAATTCCGCCAGTGGATCCCGTCCAGTATCCCGCCAAAGGAGTCCGGCAGTGGACCAGTATCCTGCCAAACAATTCCGCCAGTGGATCCCGCCGAGTATCCCGCCAGAGCTGCTGGCAAGTGGATCCGCTCGCCAGTGGATCCCGCCGAGTATCCCGCCAGAGCGGCTCGCCAGTGGATCCCGCCGAGCATCCCGCCAGCCAGTGGATCCCGCCGAGTATCCCGCTGAGTATCCCAGCGTAGCTCGCCAGTGGATCCCACCCTTGCCGGTGGATCCTGCAGAGTATCCGGCCAGTATCGAGCCGGAGCGGCTCGCCAGTATTCGCCAGTGGATCCCGCCAGTATCCCGCTCGAGCAGCTCGCCAGTCTGGTTTTGCTTAATGTCCCGCCCGACGCACAGTTGGGTTTACATTTCATGTTGGTGCCTTCGCGTTTTGAGTGTACCCTGAGGCTCGGAAAGGGTGATGCTGTTGTGTTGCTTTGGGTTGTGAATAAGCAACTTCGTTTATATAATCCCCCGTCGGGTTTCTTTTTGGAAGGGGCTTGGCTTTTGTTAACGGAACCGATGTTTGAGTTCTTGAGATCGGCTCGCAGACAAGTGGAAGTGGCCGATGGGAAGGGAAGGGGCCGATGGGAATTTGGAGTCGAAGTCTCTAGGATGCAGAGGAATTTGTTGTAACGGTCGTAAGCTCGTGAGTGTGGAGGGTGGGGATTGCTCGAAGCAAAGTATTTTTTTTGGGGGGGGGTTACTCGGGTGGAAAGCAATACCCCCGTTCGTTCATACTGTGCCTAGCACACCTAGTGCCCTTTTCCCAATTTTTGGAGGATGGTTCCCCTACTAAAATAGACTACAAAAAAAAAGGTTCCCTTCTTCTGACCTAGGTGACCTAGACTTGCAATGTGCATGCCTTTCAGGAACGGACTTTCTTCCTTGTCATGGAGCTGTACCAAGGCAGCCAGTGACGGGCCGCGGGCAGCTCCGTTCAAACTTGATGTTGGTTGCGCAACCCAAATCGCACCACTTGGAAACCATGGGAAAACACTCACATTGTTTATTGGTATGTATCTGGGAATCATGATTCCAGGGGTTCTTAGCGGGTGCGAAATGGTTTTCGTCCATCCACAGTAGCTACAGCACATGTGAGTCGCGACGGAAAGATGAGTTAAATTGCCGGGCAAGGTCCGGTGTTCCCGAGCCCCAAGATGTTCGGTTACGTGTGTCAGCGACCGGACAGCTATCAGTTTTCATGAGTTTGTCCAATCATCATGTGAACGATTGAAGTGGAGTCCCCCTCCTTGATTTTGCGTGATTGATCTTGGGGAGCAAAGAAGCTTGTCACTTGTAGCTGGCCATGATCATACTATTAAGTTAAGTATACACTTTCATTTAACTTGATGATTGGCGAGAGTGCTTTTGCCGATAGAGCTGCATCGAGTGTTAAGCTTTGCTGGATTAGCTCAGGTGATCGCCTCGTGGGCACACAGCATGCATCACGGAGGCCCAATCCTTGCAAGTTCACCTGGCCTGCATGTTGTTCCAAAAACATCCCTCGCGGACGTGTTGAATTTGACTCTTTTCTTGAGAGGTGGAACGTATGACCGCTTAGAAGCCCGTGTTTGGGTACTAAGCGCCACCCCATGGGGTGGAAGACAAGAAGATGAACGTAACGATCGTCGCATTGGACTGTTGGGCCCCGTGTTCCTGGACCTTGAATCCTTTCGCAAGGCGGCGACCTGCTGACCGAAGTCACGCAGCATGGCCTTCGGCGCGAGGCTCGAGTCCCGAGAAAATCCGGGCATAGATCCATGCGGGCATGATTGAACGTGTGTGTGTGCGTGTGTGTGGTTGGTTGGTTGGTTGGTTGGTTGGTTGGTTGGTTGGTTGGTTGGTTGGTTGGTTGGTTGGTTGGTTGGTTGGTTGGTTGGTTGGTTGGTTGGTTGGTTGGTTGGTTGGTTGGTTGGTTGGTTGGTTGGTTGGTTGGTTGGTTGGTTGGTTGGTTGGTTGGTTGGTTGGTTGGTTGGTTGGTTGGTTGGTTGGTTGGTTGGTTGGTTGGTTGGTTGGTTGGTTGGTTGGTTGGTTGGTTGGTTGGTTGGTTGGTTGGTTGGTTGGTTGGTTGGTTGGTTGGTTGGTTGGTTGGTTGGTTGGTTGGTTGGTTGGTTGGTTGGTTGGTTGGTTGGTTGCGTATGTGTGCGCGTGTGGGTTGCGTGTTTGTGTGCGAGCATGTACGTGTGTCATGTGCAGACACATATGCAGATGATATGTGTTTGTGTGCATGCATCGTATGTTCTTTTGTTTAGCTGAGGCTTTGGCTTGCGGATGCCCTGTTGAAGCAAGGCGTTTCCTTCCATGCACGCGGCAAGCTAAGCTAGTTTGGCCTAACCTGAGTCGCCAGGGGAGCGGCTTGGCCGTGGGCATCCCGCGCCTCAGAAATGCATTCTGGGAAGGCTGAAGCCTGAAGTTTGCTTAATCGAAATCAAGGAGCCCAAACAGCATGGGGTTGTTCTCCGCAAGCTTGATTGCAAGAATATGGACAGTTGCTGGAACTTAAAGATGTCAATATGTATGCTTTGGTTTGACGTTGGTGGGCTGTGTTAACCGGGTGTCGCTTAGGAAATTGAGCGTTCAAGTTGCACTTCTGCATGGTGTTTTTTTTGGGCTTCATATCTGGGCATGGGTCAAAAGCCCGGTTACCCCCCAGTGAACATCCCAATCCAACCACCAAAATAGGTTCTAAAATGGGTGGTGCAACGAAAACCCCCAAAATGGGATCCCTTTTTTAGTAGAGGGCCGACATCATACCCTGAAAAAAGGCCACGTATTGGGTGGTTACGGGGGGTTGTTCTTGTTTCTCGGGCTTCATACTGTGGATGGACGAAATCCTGCACCACTTGGAAACCATGGGAAACCGTTGTTTGTTGGTATGTGCAGGTGTATCATCATTCCAGAGTTTCTTGGGTGGTGCGAAATGGACTCGTCCACCCACAGTATTTCTTTTCACTGAGGGAGCAGTGCTTGGTGGAGTACGCATGGCAAATGTTCTCGGCCGTGGCCTACCTCCACTATCACTTCATCGCCCACCGGGAGCGCCGAGCGCCGCGCTTCTCGCTTCGCTTTTGCATGCCGGTGCATCATGTAAGGGTCAATAGGCCTTTCAGGGAGGGTTCAAAAGGAGGGTTCCAGGGGGGTTCCGGGGCTGTTGGGGATACTCCTTTTTGTTTCAGGATACACTTTTGACTGAGGGGCTGGCTGAGGGACGACGAAGGAAACCACAAGAACAGGGACCAGCCACTTGTCGAGATGCAGAAACTTCGTCACAAGCTTGCCCGAATTCAGAGAGTTCGATTCAGCAACTTGAGGCCCCGATCCATAACTTCGATTCAGAAACTGGGGCCCCGGTTCAGAAACTTGGTTCCCCCGAGTTGGAAACTTGGTAGGCCCGAAACGGGAAACTGAGGCACCCTGGTCACTTCTGTGCCACCATCTAGAAACTTAGTCTTGGAACATGATTTGCCCGCCCGCTCAAAAGCACTCGCTTAGCAGCGCACCCAGTAATTACAGCAAATTGATAAGAACACCCACTCACGTGCACCCGCGGAGCACTGCATGTCCGGCTGCCAAATGAGAAGAGCACCCGCTCAAGTTCCCCTGCATATTTGCTTGCAAGATGATTAGAACAATCGCTCAAGTGCACCTGCACAGCATTCCATATATCTGCCGGCCAAATGATATGAACACTCCCTCAAGTGCACCCGCGCAGTATACTGCATATCTTCTTGCCACATGATAACACCCGCTCAAGTGCGCCCGCAGAGCATGTTTTGCCTCGTCTCATCAGCTTAGAAGTTTATTTGAGAGAGAGGCTAAACTCTCTGGTGCTTTACGTTTCCGATGATTTAGTGAAACCCCATCAGTGTCAGAAACCTTCAGGAACGATTTCGCGAAACCCCAAAAAGGATAGTTTCCCGTAAGAAATCGCGCAAAGTAGTCATAGGTTTTGCCTTCCAGCGTGGCGCAATCTGTGCGCACCTATTGAATGTGTCCTTTACTGGCCAAAAGCCGAGGGGATGTCCAATGCCATCTTATGTTCTGGTTGCTGGCATGTTTTAAGGCTGACAGATTTGTTTTATTTTTATTTTATTTTTTTCGCAGCGTGCCGCAATTGCACGGGTATTTTCCGATTGCACGTTTCTGAGTCAGACAAAGTTTCCGAATCTTCGCTCTAAGTGTCCGGATCCCTGAAGCTAAGATTCCGAACCCGCCTCTAAGTGTCCCTCTCCGTGCGGGTAGCTTCCAAACCCACCTGGACCCCCCAAAGGACCCCTTTTTTCTGCCTTTGACCCCAAAAAAAGGGGTACACAGGCAGAAAAAAGGGGTCCTTTGGGGGTCCAGGCAAGTTTCCGCATCAGTGTTCCAAGTTCCCCAATCCCGAATCCGGGTTTCAAGTTTCCGAACCCGTGCGTGACCGAAACCGCAATCCCAAATCTGATTGCTTCTAGGCATGGGCGTCAATCCTTCAGCCGATGGCAGGGACGGTTTCCTAGTAAGCACCAGCTATCCGATGCCATACACGCGTCTTCCCCAAATTGGCCATCTCAGGCGAACTCGGAGAAGCAGTTGGGCAGGCCTTGCAGTGGTCAACAGTACAGGGGTTACATTGAGGCAAGTGCCTAGGAAGCTTCTGCCACATTGTGATCTGAAGTTCGCCAGGACATCAAGTGTGAGAACTTCATGAAAGCATCGCCCCTTGGCCCAAAGTCAGCCGACATCAGACTCTTGGCTAGTGACTTGGTGAACTCCGTCGCTGGTGGGACTGCCGGGGAGCTTCAGCACGAAATCCACGGACAGCGGGGCCATGCTGGATTCGGTTGAAGCCGAAGCTTGTGTAATTCGCCCCACGTGCCATGGTCTTTGCAACGGCTTTCGCCGCTATGATCAGACTGAACTGCCCCGACTTCCGGTTCTCGTCTTGTTTCGCCAAGCGGCGTCCGCTTGAGTCAGCGAGCGACCAGCATGTCGGCAGCGAGGCTCGCGGCGAACGCACCTCTGAAGCTGATCGACCTGGGGGTGTCTGCCTGTTTTAAGGGGGGCCTCACGGAGGCGCGGCGAGCGGAAGACGCGTCGTGGGTCGCAAATGTGAGCCGGTCAGCTTGTTCAAGACTGGAAAAATGAAGCCTTGACGCGTGCCTATGCATAGCTCTGTCTTGAAAAGTGGGGTAGGATGTTTGTGGTGTTGTCCGTTTCGAGTTAAAATAGTAACGCAAGCAAGCAAAGCAAGCAAGCAAGCAAGCAAGCAAGCAAGCAAGCAAGCAAGCAAGCAAGCAAGCAAGCAAGCAAGCAAGCAAGCAAGCAAGCAAGCAAGCAAGCAAGCAAGCAAGCAAGCAAGCAAGCAAGCAAGCAAGCAAGCAAGCAAGCAAGCAAGCAAGCAAGCAAGCAAGCAAGCAAGCAAGCAAGCAAGCAAGCAAGCAAGCAAGCAAGCAAGCAAGCAAGCAAGCAAGCAAGCAAGCAAGCAAGCAAGCAAGCAAGCAAGCAAGCAAGCAAGCAAGCAAGCAAGCAAGCAAGCAAGCAAGCAAGCAAGCAAGCAAGCAAGCAAGCAAGCAAGCAAGCAAGCAAGCAAGCAAGCAAGCAAGCAAGCAAGCAAGCAAGCAAGCAAGCAAGCAAGCAAGCAAGCAAGCAAGCAAGCAAGCAAGCAAGCAAGCAAGCAAGCAAGCAAGCAAGCAAGCAAGCAAGCAAGCAAGCAAGCAAGCAAGCAAGCAAGCAAGCAAGCAAGCAAGCAAGCAAGCAAGCAAGCAAGCAAGCAAGCAAGCAAGCAAGCAAGCAAGCAAGCAAGCAAGCAAGCAAGCAAGCAAGCAGCAAGCAAGCAAGCAAGCAAGCAAGCAAGCAAGCAAGCAAGCAAGCAAGCAAGCAAGCAAGCAAGCAAGCAAGCAAGCAAGCAAGCAAGCAAGCAA